CTGGCGGCCCCTACCGGCTGGGGGCCGGTTAAGAGCAGTGAGTGAGGAGTCAGCAGAGAGACAATGGCAGTATAAGATAGCCAGTAAAAGGTGTTTTGAGAAAGTGTCACCGTAACCACAAGAGGTCCTTTAACATGCAGCCATAACCGGGCACCCAAAATAATATGCAGTTTGCAGCACCAGAATGCGATATTAGCCGTGGACAGACACATGGATGCACACTCACTCACAGACACACGCGACTGATCGTACGATCCTCTTGGCGCAGATAATACAAATATTTGGATTGATGCAACAAGATTTGAAAGATCTAAAACTGAGTCAGTCCAATAAAACAGTCCTGCAATAAATCTTGTTGGAACTGTTTTGGAGAGGTGTTGATGCAGCTGTTTGTGATGCTGCTGAACTGTATTGCAGTGCCTGTGTCTTTTGATTTGATTTGTCTTTTTGTCATAGATTTTTTACATAGAAATTTTACAGGACCCATTTTTACCAGCGCCTTATCTTCCACATATGAAATGAACGTATGGTAAATACAATACAGTTCAATTGTCAGAGTTCAGTTAAAACTACTTGTGTACGGGAAGCTAGTGCCTCTCAATTTGATTTCACATATGCATGAAGACATTTGATTGCTTTTCTTATCCTTGGGGTCTGGGGATAATTTTAGCGTCATATTGGACGACAAATCTTGTTCAAAAGAAGCGTTGGCTCTAAAACTATTCAGCTGCTTTAAAACAAAACTTTTAAGATAACTTGGAAGAAATAAAAGAGTTGAAAAGCTTTATGCTGCAGACAGATAAACTGAGTTTAGCGGCTCTGCCCTCCTCTGCATCCTTGTGTTCGGGGTGTGATTCATTCTCAGCGTGTCCCCACAGCTGAAACCTCTGATCCTATCATTTATTTAGCCCAGCAGCACCCACCCACCCCCCTCTACCTGGGTAAATACCTTTGTACAACATTCAGCTCAAGGGTGTCCTTTGGTTGCACATTTATAAGCTTCAAATGAGTAAACCCGCAGGACACGCGCTGGCAAATATCAGAGTGGTCTACAGTCTCAGGTCAACACTGGTGTCCTGTGGCGGAGGGGAGGAGTGAAAGGAGAAGAGGAAGACAGAAGACATGGAGGAAAGGACAAAAGAGGAAATACAGATGAGCAAAAAATAAGACAAAGTGAAAAAAATAATCAAGGCAAAGGAGCAGATGTGATGATTGTGTGAGTCGCCGTGTCATATCAGACACTGGTGATTCCCTAGAGGCTTGTAGAGATGAAGTGCTCTGAGTCGCGGCAACACATGTATTATACACACAATTACAGCCTACTGTATACTATGTATAGTTTATATATATATATATATATATATATATATATATAAAGATGGCTCGTCTTGTGAATATTACATCCCCATCCTTGTTAGTCCTGAGATTTTAAACATGGAGCCAAACAGACTTTTTAAAGATGTAAACGAAACCAAGTTGCGATGATGTTCGTAACCACGCTGCTACGTCGGTAAATTGTCAGTGTCGCTTTCTAATCGTATGTGCTGATTTGTCATGGAAAGTAAACCTCAGGAACACACAGCGAGCGACAGATTGCATTGAGTTACAGAAGCCAGTGGAACAAAGTCCTGCCCAGACGTGACATCATGACTTTGACTCTTCATTTATCATTTGGTTAACCCCCTCCCTTAAACCACAATAGATTGCCAACCGTAACCAGGCATGGCAGGTCCGTCTTTGGATTTTTTCCACAAGTCGTGTGTGCATGGAGCTGCAGTGAGACGTATATTAAATTGTGTATTGTTTTAGCCTTTTATTTTCTAAGGAGTACCTTAAGAACAATGCCGTGTCTTTATTTGCCCATTTCATGGATTATTGGCCAGTAAGGAGGCTGGCTTTTTGCTAGCATACCACCTGTTAGCTTTAGTCTTTTAGCAAGATAACTTGTCCTGAATCTAAGAGAAGATGATTAGTCAGCGGCAGAGTTGGAGTCAAATGAGCTGAGGCACATTCGGATAAACGTATTAACCCACAATGACCTGATCTTGGCGAAGGACCAAAACAGATTCATGGAAACAAACCAAAAGCCTCTGACTTTGTGTGCGTCAATGCAGAATGTTGTGTTAATAAATCAGTAACATAATTGAGACAGTGCTATACTGGTGCATACTGGCTCTGCGTACAGTCATACGGTGTGTTATTGCTTAAAGAAAACCAGTATGAGGCTGTTGATTATTTGAGTTTTGATCGAATGTCACCCTCTAATATAAATGTGTTGATAATTCTCTGTGGGATTGTCACTACAAGCGACACATTTCATATTACAGTCATTTGGTCCTTGGTTGATTAGTTAAATTAAATATTAAATATATTATTAAATAATATTAATTAAAGCAAGTTCACCCAAATGACTAAATAATGATGTCACTTAACGTGACTGGTATCTAGTTGAGCTGATAGTTTGGGATTTGGTCGTGTAGATTTCTTGTAAGAGTAGACAATCTATGACTTTTGTCAGGCCAGAAAATGTTTGTTGCTCTCCCCATCAGTGTATATATTTGATGTGATGTATCAATAATGTGGAGGAGGAAAGTTTAAATGAGATGCATCGCAGCTCAGGCATTGAACTGCCAACAAACCGTCCCCAAACAGCTGAAGCTCACAAAATGCAAATCTGTCTTGGGGAAGCAGTCTGCAGCAAGTGCACAACACACAAACCGCAGCAGCTCCAGCTCCCAGTAAAACCCCCAGCACACTGTACAGCACTTATCACACACACACACACACACACACACACACACACACACACACGTAGATTTCCAAGGCTAAGTGACCTGCATGCTCTCAGCTTTGAATGACATAAGTACCTGAGTAGCCTTGGGTTCTGCACCCAACCTGAACACACTTATATGGCAGCTGATGGTGACGCAGGCCGCTTCTATGGTCATCCATCAGACCCCGCAGGTAATGTCTGCGAACACACTTGGCTTACATCAGCCAGGATAAAGGCATCTATTAAGAAAATGAATAATACTAGCTGAGGGGAGGTGACCTCGGACCGATCACGTGTCATCAACACCGACACGTGACTGGCTGCTTTTGGTTAGCATCGGTGCTACCGGGGGGTGCGGTCCGGAGGTTGACGGATGCTCGAGGCCGAGGCGAGATGGGCTACAGTGTCAGCCGTTTCAGTCCTGTGATCTAATCTGTTACCCATCATGCATCCTGCTTCGCTAATGAAAAGGCAAGGTCCCATCCGTCACAGGCGGCTATGGTAAATGGAATTTTAACCCCCCCCCACCCCACCCCACCCCCTCTTCCTTACGAAGAACATAGCTCCTCAGGCAAAAAAACGCCTGTAAACATGTGCATAAGGGCCTGGATGATAGACGGTCATTGCAAAAGACCCCAGAGCAACGGAAAATTAATATTGAGAGGGGAAAAAAAAAAAAGATCTGTGACGACCCCCGCTTCCTATAGATGCTCTTCTGCTTTCTGTCACTTTCCTTGGAAACAAATGTAGTAGAGCTCTGCTTCTGTGTAGGACTTTCAAGGAGGATCCACATTGTATATGTTTTATTGCTCTCCGTGTCGCACACAAAATGTTTAAATTTGCTTTTAATCAAGGGTCATTTCTGGCATCACACAAGCAAAACAGCTAGAATGATTTTAAAAAGTGTGTGCATGCTGTGTCGGCCTTTTTGATGGACGGCATCATGTTGATTGAAAGATATTCTCAAGCTCGAATTAACCTCCTTTGGTCAGACAAATATTATAACGGAACCTGAGGTAGACGTGACAATAAGCTACTGAAATGTTGTGTCCAATATAATACCAACACTGTTCCATTTACATAAAAATATGAATCATTTTCATCCCTTAAAAGTTTCTAAAGCTTGACAAAATTCACAACATGCTGCAGTAAGCAGGGTCCTCTTGTGGCGATCAAAAGGCCAGAATATACTTCACATAGTAAAATATAAAAAGGAAAGGCCAATAAGTTGCAATGACTGTTTAAATTACAGTGTTTTATATTTACGCCTTTAAGCTTCTCCATACAACTCTAAATAAACACGGAAATTCCCAGTTTTGCTTTTAGACATGAAAACCAGTTTAATCACTTGACTAATTGGAAAGTGGTTACTTAATTAAACCCTTTGTAAACGTGTGTCCCGTGGGTTTTGTGTGCCAGCCTTTTTACACACGTCTTTTAGGCCTCATAAGTAGACTTTACATCATCACCGCAACTGAACTTTTATAAAATTCAAGGACATTCATTCCTCTGTTCAGGTTATTTGTATTAACCAGTGTTAGAAATGAAATTATCATGGCTACATTATTCAAATGTTCTTGTCATTCATGGCTATGGAGGAGTGAAACTGTAAAGATCCTTCCTCTCACCACAGCTCTATCACACTATCACAACAGCTACGTGGGATTTAAACGTATTTACTTATATCTCTTTGGACACTAAAACATTGAATGAGCCCAATTAAGACATATCACTTAACTGCTGTTCTACTGGATTACAATGAAAGCATTCTTTTGAGAGAAAAAGTGTCTTTGGTCTTCCACAGAAGCTCAATGTCACCTTCAGACGTGGAGCTCCCCGCCCACAGCTGAACCAAAGTCCTCGGTTATTCTTCCATAACAGCATCAACAGCCTCACTGTTACCCTGAGGTTCTTCACTCTCTGTTCCCACAAGTGCTCTGTTTCTGAGGTTAAATCCAGCATTTGAAGCTCCTCAGAGCTCCCCAGAAGGGACACGCCGGCTCTCTTTTCTCTCAGCCTTAATGACAACGGAAAAGACAAAACATCCAGCGCATTGTTATACAGGCTGTCGTGACATCATGAGATCCTGTGGCAGGAGAATTTCAATGGAGCTGTGTGGATGTTTTAGAAAATATGCGGCTGCGGGAGATTAGAGAGAAAAATTAGGTTAACGTTGTGAGAGTCTTCTTTTCATGAACACCCCCCCTCCCCCTGTCTGTTTCCTCAGGGTTTTTTCCGCCGAAGCATCCAGAAGAACATGGTGTACACGTGTCACCGGGACAAGAACTGCATTATCAACAAGGTGACGAGGAACCGCTGCCAGTACTGCCGCCTGCAGAAGTGCTTCGGAGTGGGAATGTCCAAAGAGTGTGAGTTTTAGACCCCATTTACACAGCGTGCCGAAATTCACGGGGATTAATGATTTTTTTTATTGATGAAAATGACATTTATCTTTTTTTTGTTATGAAGATGAGTTATGGGTACAACTGGCTATTGCTTGAACATTGGTTTTGATATCTTTCCCATTACCATACCTGAGCTTTGGTATCGATAACCAACCACATTTTTCCATTTTTTTCAATATTATTGGCCCGCTTCACACCTGGCATTAACATGCGTGAGGTGATCCAATCTCAAGTGGACAGCTCGCTAAGTAAGAAACAAAGGGAATGGTCAAAGTTGATATGCAGGGTGTGTTGATGGATTCATTACATTAACTTGTGCCTTGAGTAATATGCAAGAAAACATTCCTTACAAAAGGTTGCTGGTAAACGTTTGAGCGGAGCACTAAATTCTGTTGCTCAACTTGACTTTTATCCAACAATAATCTTGACTCTTGGCTCAAAAGTGTTGTGGGTTCAAAACTGATATTGAATGATGAGATGTAACTCCACCACCTTATCAGCCAAATGAGCTTCTCTTGGAAGAGTCTTACATTCCTTGTGTGTTTTTAGGGTTTTCAAGCTGCAAGTAAGATCATAAAACTTGTTTCATAAAAAAGGCTGACTGATGGGGAAAAGCACCAACTTCACTCATGAATCTTGGGATGACCTAATGTTGCTCTATTGTGTCTTCACGTTTGAATCTGTTCTAAGTTAGCAAGAGTGTCTCCACCTGCTGCTCAGGTTGAAGATAGTCACTGTGAGTTGTATTGTTGGCAAAAATGGCCTGAAATCTCCCAATAAAATATAGAGTAGTTATAAGTTGCAATATAGAGGCAAGGCCACCACATGGCCTCAGGCATAGTACATTTCAGGTGTGAAAAGTTATCCATTTTTGAATGGACAGCACTGTCAGATAAGATCTCATCCAGTATTGGCTGTATTGTTATGAGTATGATGTGGGGATGATTAATTATCTGAGTTAGAGCTGCCGAGTCTCCCGATAGCTGATCCGCCGCATACATTATTCAGTCGCATGTATGTTTCCTCTACTGGCCAGTATTTCAGCCAGCGAGGAAGAGTTGCATCATTCACAAAGTGTTGTCGAACATCCAACACAGCTGGGATTTGAGAAATGATGTGATGAACCGATAAAAACAAAACAGGATGCAGAACCTCTGCATTTAGGAAACCCCGTGTCTTGCTTCCATCAATGTCCTCATGTCCCTCCCGCTCCATTGTCATCCATAGGAACAGTTTGCATTTCACAGGTTATTGGCATCCTTTGATTGCATCAGCATTTATAGCTCAGGTCCACTTTGTGCTCCATTAGCCTCAGGGGGGGACGACCATTCCTTTCTCTTACGCTGTTTCACACCTCAGCAGAGGAATCATGGAAAAGATGATGTCTTGATATCCTCAGGCTATAACCCCCCCCCCCCCCCCCACCCCCTCCCCCCCCCCCACCGCCTCACCCCCCCCCCCCCCCCCGCACCTCCACTCACACCCACAGGGCCACTGATGAGAAAGGGGAGAAAGAGGACTATCCTTTATTCAGGGGTGGAGGTGATTGGGTGGTGTCCTCTGCGTCCTGCTCTGAACGTCGACAACAGAAGGTCCGTGCCGAGTGAACGTTGCTCTCACTGTAGGGACAACAGAACTTTGTCCCCAAATCTATTTGACTGACTGACTTTTTATGCAGTTGCACCTGCACTAAATTTCTTGAAGAACAACTAGTAGCAGGGCTAAGAAAATGCAAGCCTTATAAATCCATGTTTTCATATTAATGGATTGAATGATCATGGGTACTGTGAAAGGGTTTGCTCGTTATGACATACCTTTATGAAATTATCACCCAGCTTTGCAGTTCCTCTCAGTTCTACAGTGCCCTTCAAATATAATATAAAAATGGAACATAACGCTTTTATGCAGCTACTGTTCCGAACATATACTGTGTTAATTGATCAGCTAAGCAGACAACTATACACATAATCAGACAGTACAGAACGATTTCCATTCAGTTCTGGCTGTATGTTTAGAAACACTACTATCAATGTTGTTGTCCGTTGTGGTTGGACGCATCCAATATGGCCGCCACAGGCAATATAACACCTGAAAGCTTACATTTGTAGAGGTAGTTATTTCATAATGAAAGTACGGTGTTGAGAGCTCAGTCTGAAGTCTGAGTCAGAACACGGACGGTAACATCTGCTTTTCAACACTGGACTCGTGCTATCATGTGCCTCTGGAGATCACTGAACTGCTACTTAGAGAGCAACACAAAGGGGAGCATTGTTTTATGTGTGTGTACATGATTGTGTCTATGAGTGTGTGTGTGTGTGTGTGTGTGTGTGTGTGTGTACACGCTGCACCAGCAGGTATGCGATTGAATGCGTCATTACACAAGTTGTGTTTGTATTTTTTTCAGTGGTAAGCGATCATGAGTCTCATGAAGTCATGAGCACTGATGTGATCCATTATTAATCTGGTGGATCTGCAGAGCCAGAAGAGGAGGAGGAAGACAGCACTGTGTGATTGTTATTAGTGTGTACGCGAGTGTTTTTTTTTCAGTTCCATGGGCCTCAAATATTCAGTGTCATGGGATGATACAGAGAAGAGTTTGACGGAAATTAGGTGTATTTTGCATCCTTGGGTTTAACGTGTGGGTAAACTATTTCCTTGTGTATGTTTCGGGAACAACAAATGGCCCTGTTCTTTGTTTTCTAGCTTCCTGTCTACACAGTATGTGTTGACATTGTTTAGATTGACACCTTTTGCTTGCAACTTTACCTGCACTTTATCAAATATCTGAGCAGCTTTATGATACAACAACATACACTAGGGCTGGACCCAAATATTCAACTAATTGGAAAATACATTGCTGGGTAGGTATTCATTTTTTGGCATTCAGATATTCATTTATTTTTTCTCAGAAACGGCAGCTGATGACTCAAAAAAATGGACAGGAGGAAACCAACCAACAGTGCCATGTTATTTTACACTAGTTGCATACTTATCTCTACTTTATGTTCAACCAAAATTTAAGCAGTGAAACAATGGCTTTCGATCAGGAATGAGCCTCGTTTGTGCGTAATGGGTCACTCGGAGCCTGCGAGTCCAACGAGCCCCACAGAGTCCAGCCTGGACTGCTGAGACAGCGTCACTCCTGCTGCTACTAGTCCACTGGCTAATCGATCGCGGAATGGCGTCGCTCTCTTGGACAAATAAAACAAAACAAAAATAAGAAATGCCGTTTATATACCTGGCCCCGTCAAGCTAAGCCTATGCTGTAGAAAATACAGGAAAGTATCTTTGACTAAACAAAGGCGCATGTCTTTTATTTAGGCTAACACTAAAAACCAACCATATATATATTTATATATACTACTCAGATAATGAACTAAGACGTTGTGGTCGCAGCATGCTTACAACCTATATAAGCTACTAATGAAGATCCTCCACAGGTGTGCTCTCAGCAGGAGTCCACTGACAACATTGTACGCAGGTGTGCAACTCCTCCCATAGAGAGAGGGAGAGAGAGAGAGAGGGAGAGGGAGAGGGAGAGAGAGAGAGAGAGAGAGAGAGAGAGAGAAAAAAAAAAAAACAGGCACCCAGCATTCACACTATAAGGAGACTTAAAAAATAAATAAATCACACACTCACACAGGGCTCACGGGGGTGGAACCGTGACACACATAACATAACTGCTTGTGTTGAAGCACAGATTATGGTGAATTATGTCCTTTGAGTATGCTGGGGAGAGGGACGTCTGGAGTACCCGGCTTAGTCTACTGCTCCCGGCCCGGATAAATGGATGAGAATGCACGGATGGATGTCCTTAGTTTCTGCTACAATATAATATATTTTGCACTCGCTGGTTCACGTTGAGTGTTTATCCAGCCTTGCAAAGTGAAGCGATGTGGTTCCTTGACCAAAAATACATTTTTCCAAATTAATTTCTTGTACATTTGTGAGTTTAATCTCAGAGAATGAGATTTTTTATAAACTCAGAGAATATTTAAGTATTTCCTTGTAAATTACTGTGTTTTTTTTCATGAAATATCACCCCCCTTCCCTAGCTCTGTAATTATTTTTACCTACGATGACACTAATACACCATCATACCTGCACAGCTCCAGGATCAGCAGGTCAACTATTGAAACTATTGTTCTGTTTTTTTCTTCTTTTAATCTTATCTGTGTGGAAAAGCCTCTGAACCTGCACTCGGACCATCATGAGATTAATTTAGTTGCGTATGCGCCGCTCTCATTCTCATTCCTGCTCCAAGGTCATATTTTCACAGCGCAGGTTTCCCATCTGACAACCCCCCTCTCCGCTCCCCCTGGTCCCATCAGGACCATTAGCTTAAACCCAATGCTCTGGTGGCAGCGAAGAATTATCGCGGTTGCTCGACACCCACCTGGTTAGTGTTAGGGAGCTGCCATGTTAAGTGCCGTGGCAAGTGGCCCGGACCGCATCACGTGGGCTCAAATAAATAGTGTTTATTTAGCGCTGCATCTGTTTGCTCACAGAGACGCTGCGTAGAGCTTGGCAGCATGCAGATGGCTGGCCGTCGGGTTTCTCAACAACGGCCGCCGTCCACGCCTGCTGCTGCCGAGCCACACACCATCCCAATAAAGCAGCAGAGAAAAACATCTCACCATGCTGCACCGGTGGGCTAGAGGCAGGCGAGAGAAAAAAAGCAATAAAAGAGGAGGACAAAAGCCAGAGGGTGGGACATTGCTCTAGTGACTAAAGGAAGGTAAGAGGAGGGTCTTGTAAAGCAGACGGACGGGAGAGTGACAGTAGGCATCGCTGTGGAGAGTATTTAACAGAGTGTCTGAACTCCACTCAATGACTCTTCATCCCTTGGTCAAACACTCTGGAGAGCACTTCAGAAACACTCGTTCATTCACAGCGCTCCCTCAAAGCCTGACAAAGCCGCTGGGTGGAGGGTTTAACACAGTCCTCGTGGTTTGCGCATTGTG